TGTTTTTCCTTTTTTTTAGATATTTTCAATCGTGACCTTTGTTATATGAACGATCTTTATTTCTTTTTTACCCAGACATAAATGAGTGTGTCAGAAAACCTTGCCAACATGGACACTGTGTGAACAAAGCTGGCGGATACAAATGTACCTGCTCACCTGGTTGGACTGGGCAGAACTGTCAGCAGGGTGTGTTTTGTTGTCGACTAGTAACCACTTACATATTATTGGCATTGTATATTCTTATTGCATTTTGTAATGTCTAATTCCTTTTTTTACTTTTATATTTATAATTATGACCTTTGTTATATTAATGGTATTTTTTTTACCCAGACATAAATGGGTGTTCCAGAAAACCCTGTCAACATGGACGCTGTGTGAACAAAGATGGCGGATACAAATGCATCTGCTCCCCTGGATGGACTGGACAGAACTGTCAGCAAGGTTTGTTCTTAAGGCATAAAAATATATGTATAATAATGTCAGCTTGTTTTCAATCAGTTCAGCTACACAGAATGTACAATTGCTGTACATTTCTTTTGTACACACATCAATGAGTGCACGACGAAACCTGGCAAACACGGAAGCTGTGTGAACAAATGTGATGGATACAAATGTCAGCAATGTTACATTTTTTTGTGTGCTTCCTTTTAGTTTTGAAAAGAGTCCTTTATCCCATGTTGTGTTTTCAGGCCACGAACTTGTTTCCTTGGTCCTATTTGCAAGGCTTGCGCGTGTGCGTAGATGTGTGTAATACACACTATGTGATTTATGCGCATGTGAGTGTGTCATAGGGATTTTTCTGTAAAGATTGATAGGTTTATTGCAAATTTCTGGCCGAAGGCTAATTACAAATAACAAAAATAAAGAACATTAAAACAGAGTACAAATCTACATCAGCGAGATATCAATGGCAGTTTCCCCTCAAATTGTTCAATTTCTAACAGTGAGTGCTTTTTTCACTCATCCCACAGACATCAACGAGTGTACCAGAAGCCCTTGCCTACATGGACGTTGCATGAACAAAGATGGTGGGTACAAATGCTTCTGCTCCCCTGGATGGACTGGACAGAACTGTCAGGAAGGTGAGTTCTGCTGTGTGTAGCCTAGCCATGAGTTTCTGTTTTTCCTTACCTTCTTCTTTCCTTTACTTGATAATTAGAATGATTACGGATTTTGTGTTGGATTATGCATTTCTTTCTTTATCCTACAACCCTAAATGAGTGTAGGTCTGTAGGAAGACCATGCAAGCATGGAACGTGTGTGAACAAAGATGGTGGATACATCTGTTTGTGCGCTAAGTAATGTTACATAAGTGATTATTGGCTGCAGCTACAGATATCAATGGCAGTTTTCCCTCAAACTGTGCAATTTCTAACAGTGAGTGTTTTTTCACTCACCTCACAGACATCAATGAGTGTGCCAGGAAACCATGCACACGTGGACGCTGTCTGAACAAAGATGGTGGATACAGATGCATCTGCTCCGCTGGCTGGATTGGACAGAACTGTCATCTGAGTGAGTTCTGGCTAGTAAAGAATAATAGTAATAATAATAATAATAATACTAATCATCATAAAAATTCCTTTTTTTTCTGTTTGTATTTCTATTGAGGCCTTATCTTCAAAAACATCCCATACTCGAGGTATGGGATGTTTTTGAAGATAAGGCCACTTAGGCAATTTAATTGTCTGAATTATAGTAAAAAAAAATCATGTCTGTATGCACAGTTTCAGGACCTACATTTCGTCAGATTTAGGAAATCATCTTGCCTTTTTTGCTGAAATGCTAAAATATGTCTGAGGTCCAATTGAAATTAGTTTGGCATAATTATATTGATGAAGTTAATTGCAAATTCATGCCCGGGGGGCTAATTGCAGATTAAAAACATAAAAGAACAATGAAACGTACTATAAAATAACTAAAATCTACATGATAAAAGGTAGTTGTATTGAGCTATAGCTATGTTATATAACCAGGGACATGCATGGTGTTAAAGCAGAAAGTGATTATTAAACAATTCAAAACCAAAATCATAGTTATAGAATCAGATTTGCCAAGAACTAGTTTCTACGAAAAGACGATCCCAACCCATTTGACGTCATTTCACAGTTACTAATTATTATTTTTTTCAGTCTGGCGATGTCCAACTGGATGGGACGGATATAAAACCCACTGCTACAAGTTCATGACAAGCAAAGTCGGCTGGGACAAGGCGAATAAACAGTGTAAAAATATGCGCGCAAATCTTGTCTCAATCCATAGCCGTGAGGAGAACGAGTTCATCAATGGTCTCATCACCAACGGTAGGTAATTAGCAATTTCATTGGCAATGGTTTTTCAAGGCACTAATTTATTTCCTTGCTTGGTTCTTGTCTTGAAGACTTTGTACCATTGCCCAATAATGTTGAATCCTTTAGACTGACGAATAATGATGTTTTTATTTGATAATGCATTAATTTATAGAATTCTCATTTTCCACATTGATCATATTTCACAAGTATGTAATAAGGCATATTCTAGCATTTCCTCAAATTATGAAAAGAATTGAATAAGTTATGTTTTATGATAAATTATTTAAACATAAATCTCTAATTGGATTACTGTTTTATCTAATTTCAGCTCCAAAAGGGGAACAAGCTGTCGTCAGCATTGGACTGCACAAGAATAAAAATGGAAAGTGGGAGTGGTCTGATGGATCCCGGGTTTCCTACACGAACTGGGCTCCCGGTGAACCCAACAACAAAGCCATGTGGTCTCTAGATACTTGGTGTTCTGCTATGTCCTCCAAGGTGTGTGCTTCTAATTACGTTCGTCATAAGGTTATGGGGTATGGTGCATGTATCCTTATGATATTTGGTAGGTAGGATGGGGTTGGGAAAAGGAAGATCAAGGACAATTTTGGGCACTCTAGTGGTTTTGTAAGATATTGCAGAAAGAAATTGACAGTGCATTCACATCCTGTATGGTAGAGGTAGATTGCTTGCTTTATTCTTCACTGCATATTATCTGAGACCAATACTTTCTCATGCTCACTCCATTGCTTTGTGTAAACCCTATGAGTCCCACATGACTGTCTTTTGTCCTCATCTCTTTTGCTTTGATTCCACAACCAAATCGCACATGCTTCAGATTCTCACCCATGGGGAAGGATATTGTAGTACTAATGAATATGAAATAAATAAATCATTTTCCTGGCTAACAAAGCGCATGTACGTCTACTTGTATGGCTTACAGTGTGGCTTATGTGCTTAGGAATGAAAATGGATGCTGTTCTGTTGTTGATGTACTTTAACGTTGGTATAATGTATTGTTTCCAACAGAATGGCAAAGAGTGGATCTGGGGAAGTAACAACAAAAAGGGACAATGGTCAGACCAACGGTGTGCCGGTGGTTGGGATGGCTTTCCGTACATTTGCAAGACTCGAAAAACACGCGAGGTTGCACGTGGGCGTTAAGGCTTGATGGCAGCCCGTCACATGCATCTGTGCCATGTGCAATCACATCTAGCACATTGGACACGTGCATGTAAGTTGTAGTAAGCTATCAATTGGTCAGAAAAAGGAAGGAAGGGAGAGGTAGTAGAGTGATTTCAAATTAAAACTTATATACTAAGCTGATGCAATATCATAGTTTGAGAAAGAAGGGAGAAGAAAGAAAGAAAACAAGAGTGAATAAAAGAGAAATAGAAGAAAAAGAAAGAAAACAAGAGTGAATAAAAGAAATAGGGAGAAAAGGGAAGGAAAAATAAAGAAAGATTTAGTAACATAGAAAGAAGTGTGATGAACAATATCAAAGACAGGTCTGTGATTTAACATGACTGTGACATGCTAATTCTTTTGACAATCATTGATGTAAAAATACGCTGCATGAGAAAGTAGTAAGATTAATAAATATCTAAATTGAACTTCTTTAATTACTACTGTTTTATGAGAGTAAACTCGGACTGATATAGCTTGTTCTCATCTACATATACATCCATTCTGTAAACTAAAGAGAGCATAGCTCATACATGTAGCTGGATTCAATTCCCAAAACAGTATGCTATACAAGAAGCACCTACTATACACAGAACATCAGTACATTTGCTAATAAACTGAAATCTTAACAATGACTAGTACCAATTGTAATGACACTAATGGTACTGCATGCTGTGCTTTTTTTGCAGAAAACCAAAATTAATTTGCTTTTTTATAATGCCCTTGAAGAGTTGTTTCTAAATACCATTACAGTGATTTGGTAAATGGTTCAAGCAAAAGCACGTGACTCATAATAATCTACTAGAAATGTAGCTTGTGACCAATTTTATGCCTACAATACAAATTATCAGCATTTTCTTACATTGTAATGATGAACTGTATTGCAAGCTGTTGTACAATGCATCTTCTGACACGATGTTATTTAATTAACTATGCTTTGAGACTTATCTAAAATGACAATGTAGGGATGAGAATTGATGGAATTTCAAGTGTTTCAATATCTAGTAGGCGTTTTCAATGTAATGAAAAGATTCTTATTTGCTTCTGAAATATGACTTCTTAGTTGAAACTGATTTGGAAAGTATCAGCCATATGTTAAATGACATATAAAGACAAATTATGTTTAATGGCGTATTATCAGCCATATGTTTCATGGCAGTTGCCGAACATTTCTGTGATGTGATGGTAGTTGCTTTTATTCACTCAAGAGCAAATGTGTATTACATAAACTGTGGAGTTGGCGTCAAATGATTTTGAATACTCACATGAAATGGAAAACATCATGGACAATATATTTACTGAAGAAGATACGCTGAGTACACAGTATAATCGGCTTTGTCATTTATTTTCAATACAAAGGTACTGTTAGGCCATCGTTGAGTTGATAAATAACACGCCTTAGGGTTATGGTGACATGGTGTCCCCAGTCGGTCTGTTGACTATCTAAGGGTTCTGGGCTTACAACAGACACCGTAGAAAGATGGCAGTATCAGCATTATTGATGCTTGGATCGATGGAAAAATATTTAAAGCGCAGAGGTGGTTAATAGACAGATTTGAACACGTCAACAACAAATCCCACAAAACAATACTCAGTAAGGTGCAAACAAACGAATCCAACACAAAAATTGGCCATAAAGTGAAAAAATACTTTACCAGAGAAGTTAGCCAGTCAGAAAAGGACAAGGACAGACCAATATTTATTCATAATTCAAAGAAATGAAATTAATATTAAAACGTGCGTGGGAGTTACTGAAACAAGCCATCATAAGCATTACATAAAACCCATATGCCATACATCAAAACAACAATCAAATCAAAAGTGTCTGGCAGGGATAAAAGAAAACTTTCAGAAACATTTTCACAAAGCTGCTCACTTTTGAATACAGCCTTTTATTACCATAACAGAAAATCTGCTTCATGTTTTATTACTACCTAGGCTAGAAGAGTAAACCTTTCATTTTTTAAATTTTCTTTGTACATGCTACTCTAAGAGAAGAAATCGTTGATCTCTTTTCGAGCGCCGACTGATCTTTCAAATAATCACAGGTACCGGTCTTAAAAGTAAGAATCTCAAACAAACAAGTGGGCGTTATAACAGAAAAACAGTATCAAATCAACCTCGTCTGTAGATATGAAAGCAATGTGGTATGCCGATCAGATTGCCCACGTTTCAACTATGTATTGTTGCGATAATAGTTTTCCTTCATCTCTGCCAGACATTGTTGTTTTGATGTATGGCATATGATTCTTATGTAATGCTTATATGAGGGCTTGTTTCAGTAGCTTCTCGTCTCCCACGCAAGTTTTAATATTAATTTCATTTCTTTGAATTATGAATAAAGATTGGTCTGTCCTTGTCCTTTTCTGTCTGGCTAACTTCTCTGGCAAAGTATTTTCACTTTATGGTCAATTTTTGTGTCAGATTCGTTTGTTTTGCATCTTAATTTTGTCAGTCTATATATTTTGTACATTGTATTTTTTTAGTAATAAATCTACAATACGTACCAGAACTCACCTCAAAGAGGTTAGAATGGATTGTACATTTTCTGTTACGTGGTCTGATTTCAATCACACTGATTTGATTGATAGATAGATTGATAGATA